TGCACTCAGATCTTGTTGCCGCTTTTCGTGAAGATAGATATGGCGTCCAGGGAGCCCCTGCTGTTCAAAGGAGGTTGGCAATGCGATCTACGCAAGTCTGGATCCCCTGAACCCCTGGACCACTATCGAGGCATCCTGTTAGGTTGTCACGTGGCGAAGTTGCACCATGCCTTCCTCAGAAGCAAATTGCTCGAAGCGTCCTTACACATGTTGTCGGAGGTCCAGCAGGGTGGACTTCCCCCGCGTGGCACCGACATTGCATCTTTGCACCCTCGATCGGCCATGCTGGCAGCCAAAGCTAGGAAACGTACGTACTTGTCGTTGCACACGGATTCGAAGGCGGCCTTCTACTCGGTTATTCGCGGGTTCGTCGCCAGAATGGCCCAGAACAGTGAGGAGATTCAGAGCACACGTTGACGGACTTAGAAGTGCCAAAATGTCTCGAGCCGCTTTGCCATGCCCTCGTCGCCAAGCCTGGCGCCTTGGACGCGCTCGAAAATAAGCATCTCTTGGAAGCGGTGGTTGACGTGATGGAGTGCAACTGGTTCCATGTACGGGGGAGCACTAGGGTCGTTTCCCCCCGTGTGGGCACGAGGCCAGGCATGCCACTAGCGGACCTCCTGTTCATCATAGCCTTCGACCCTATCATAGTTGCGGTCAATAATAGGCTAGGCGCTCTGGGATATCTCCAGAAGACCAGGGATGTGGACCCGTCTCAGAGAATCTTCTGAAGTCGTGAGCATGAACATGTGGAGGAGGAGGTTTGGGATCCCGCCTTCATGGATGACCTCGTCAATTGCGTTGAGCTGTTAGACGCTAGGTTCTGGAAGGAGGCGGCCACTGCCCTTGTTACGGTAATGTATGAAGAAACCAAGCCTAGGGGGTTCACTGTGAACTGGAAGGCAGGCAAGGCTCATGGCCTTCTTCAGCGGCACACGTTCAGGAAGGCCCGAGGGGAGTGTGCGGCCCTGGCTGCCGCAGGCCTCCTCGTCCCTTCCTTGGGCGTCTCCCTCTGCCTCACTAGGACTTATAAGCACTTGGGCAGTCATCAGGATCATCAAATTTCGATGGGACCCGAACTGGCACACCGATGCCATCATCAGCGACATCCTCTCGGGGTACTGAGGCGCACGGTGTTCCCTAGAAAGCAAGTTGGTTTAAAAGCGAGGCTAATTTATGTTACCTCCTTGTGCACATCGCACCTCTTACTTAACACCCTAACTTGGCACAAGTTGAATGTCAAACGGTTGGCGACCCTGGCGCACAATTATATGAGCCCGTTTCGTTCGGCGGCTGGACTCGGCTACGATTCGGCCTCAGGGAAGGCGGCTGCTGACCACAGGGTCTATGTCACTTGCGAGCTCCTGCCCATTGAGCTCGTCTTGAGGCTTAGGCGGTTGCGATTTCTTCCCAGGCTTCTCAAATCAGCGCCGGCTTGCATGCTGGCACTCCTTGACGAGTTAGCTTCCGTGCCCGAATCGTGGTCTGCCCTTTGTTGCGAGGATCTGTTGTGGCTTAGCAGGCATGTGAATCTAGCCAGAGAGTTCCAGCCCTCGGGCCCCCCAGCATGGTGGATGTGGCTCCTGAGGTCCAGTAGTAGAAAGCTTTGGAAGCGAATTTGCAGGCAAGCTGAATCTGCAGCCAGAGCTAAGTTCTTGGACGATCAGCGTCACGAGGAATTCAGAGATGGGTGGCGGAGGTCTTGTCTCTCCAAGGGTCTTGCGCTCCCGCCGTTTCTTCGTCCGCCGGCTGCTCGAGCCCTGTATCCTTGCCTTGATTGTGGGGCGGTGTTGGCCACCAAGGGCGCGTGGGCCTCCCATCGCTCGAAGTGCCACCCCCACTTGGACCCCGCCCCCAGCTATGTGTCGGGTACCGTGTGCGTGGCATGCGGGCTTAAGTTTCACACACACCTCAGATTGCTCAAGCACGTTCGGCATGGCTCGTCGAAATGTCTGGCGGACCTTATGGCCGTCCTTCCTCCGTCGAGCGCCTAACACGTCATGCAGGCTAGGGCGGAGGACGCGGAGCTAGCTAAGACGCTCCGTGGGAAAGGCCACTATGCGGAGTCAGCTCAGCTCCCGCCTGTTCTCACGGTGGGCCCCTGGCTAAGAGGCGCAGCTGCTTCCAGGGGCCTCCCCACAAGCATGCCGAGAGTGTCTTGCCAGCCCGTGAGTATCCAGGACGAGGTACCCACCCAGGCGGTAGTCGCTCTGCCCACGCTCCCTGGCACCAAGTACATTATAATTCTCCGTACAGTTCCCAGGAGTCAAGGCGACATCCAGGACCGAGCGGAGAGTTCCAGTGCCATAGCGGGGTTGAATGTTTTTGTTCTGTCCCTAAACATCCTCGAACTTTTCCAGAATGGTATCGAGGGTTTTCGAAAGGAGCTTGATTGTTTAACCAGTTTAATCCTGTCTGGTCGTGTTGTGGGTCTATTGGCAGACCCCCCTCAAACCTCGTGGGACCCCGCCCCCCGCTGCAAAGCCAAGGGTGGGGAAAGCAGGCCTTTAAGGAGCTGCGATGAGCCGTGGGGGATTTCAGCTAGGTCGCCCTCTGAGTGGAAGCAGCTGGAGCTCGACAATGCGTGCCTTCGCGCGGTGCTAACGCTGGCGTTGTGTGCGGCTTCCTCGGGCTTGGCGACCCTGCTCATTTTAAACCCACCTGCTCCGCAAGCCCATGCGCCCTGCGTATGGAAAGTCCCCGAGGTCAGGTTCCTGCGTTCCCTGTCGGCCCTGTCTCCGACACTCACGTCGAGTTGTATGCCAATCGGGGACCGTCAGTGCCTCTGCTTGAACGCTGAACCGACTTTAGCCCCTCCTGCCAGCAGCCAGGTTGATTACTACCTTGCTGCTGTCATCACCCAGGCCGCCTCGCAACGCTGTGCCCCCACGCCTCCTGGGGAAGCATGGCTAGAGGCGTCAGTCGCCCATCTCTATGCCCCGCTCGATCTATTTTGCGAATCGGGTTGATGTTGGCCATCGCTGCTCTCCTTTTCCTCCGCTATACTTGCCGCCTTTCTCAACGCTGACGGCTGACGTATGCATGAGTGGACACTTCAGACGTTGGTCTTCAGGGCTGTGGGAAGAAAGGAGGAGGAGGAGGACGAGGAGGGACGGCCGCATCCCCGCGGAGGGAAGCAAGGGTCCGCATCCTGACTCCTGGGGAGTGGGAATAGGAATGGGAAGGGGAAGGGGAAGGGGAAGGTGAAGGGGAATGGGACTAGGAATGGTAATGGAAATGGAAATGGGAATGGGAATGGGAATGGGACCGGAATGGGAACGGGAACGGGAACACGAACGGGAACGGCAATGGGAGTGGGAATGGGAATGGGAATAGGAATGGGACTGATGATGGGACTGGTCATGGGAATGGGAATGGGAATGCGAATGGGTATGGGAATGGGAATGGGAATGGGCATGGGCATGGGCATGGGAATGGGAATGGGAGTGGGAATGCGAATGGGAACGGGAACGGGAACGGGAACGGCACACGGGGCGCAATCCAAAAACTACGCCCTGCCGCCGCGGCGGCCGGCCCCGCCAGGCCGCCTCCGCCTGACGGCCCGCCGAGCGGTCACGGCGCCGCGCGGCGGTACGCCACGCGTGGGCCCAGCCCCGGACAAAACCTAAGGAACCTTGCAGGCGAGGGGAGAACCCCCCCAGCAGCGAGTCCCAGGGGGGGGGGGGGCCACGGGAGACTACGCCGCCCTGGGGGCGCCTTTATAAACCCCCGGACCGGGACCCCGAAACGACACGACACGACACGACGGAGAAGAGGAGGCGACGGCGCATAGCACGACACGACGGACGACACGACAGTAAACGGCGGACAACAGGGGAGGACGAGCCGCCAGGCGCGACCCAACGCAACAGTCACGTTGATCCCAGGAGTGGTGTTTTGGCAAAGCTGAAGATTAACAGACGGGTGTCTCCCAATGGGGAACTTCCCGCAAGGAAAAAACTATGGAGAGGGAACTTGGAGGGAGAGCGTGTTGAAACATCGTTGGTGTGTCTTGGGTTTATCCTGGTCCTCCTCCTCCTCCTCCTCCCCCCCCTTCTTCTCATCCTTCAGGTCCCAAAGAGGCCCCACAAGGATCCCAGGGGCCCCCAAGAGGTCACCAGTGACCCACAATAAGAGGCTTCCAAAACGCCCCCACGAGGACCGAAAAGAGGCCCCAAGAGGCTTTCCAAGAGACCCCCACGAGGTCTCCCAGAGGCCTCCCGTCCACAACCCAGGCTGCGCCGAAGGCCACCAGATATTCCCAGGGCCGCAGGCTGTGCAGTCCTTCGGGCATCATATTTCGCAACCCCGAATGCAACAAAACATGGTCACGCACGGCAGGCTCGTGTCATGACGATCCCGGAGTCGGCTTCTGACATCGCATGGATCGCTCAACCTTAGACGATCGGCGGCTTCAGCTGTGTTAAGACGAAGTCGCCGAACTGTGCTGGCCATTCAAGGCGATCTGACTAAATAAGCGATCGGCTGTCAAGGACGAGAGGCCGAATATCACTGAGATTCCCCAGGTAGTAAGAAGAGGAGGCGCGAAAGGAGAATGAGGGGACTACCAGAGCCCCGTGCCAGTTTCTATGCCTGTCTGCGCAGAGCCCAATGGGTTCTTCCACCGCCTCGCACGCTACTGCGGAATGAATAGCTAAAGAAACGCTCGACAGCAAGAGGGGCAGTGCCCCAAGCAACCGACACTAGACAATCGACAGTCGACAAGGAGAATCGGTGGCACCAAGGGAGAAGGGAGCGAATCAGGGCAGGGGGCAGGGGGGATAACTGACGCCAAATCACAGCGCGAGGCTCCACTGGCACGCCAATTTGCTCGAGACGGGCGAAAGAGCCCGGAGAGCGGAGAGTAGTACTCATACTGCCTAACTGATGAGAGTAGGCGGGCGGGAGGAAAAGCGTGCGAGAAAGGTGTGAGAAAGAGGAGTGGTGAAAGATCAGGCGGTGGTAAGAGCATGTTGAGCCGCCCCCTTCCCAAGCCCCACCACAGATCATGCAGCACTGCCTTCTCTCCGAGCATGGGGGGCACAGGGCGAACTCCGCATAAGTTGTCTGCACCTTGGTGTGGCCCACTCCCATCAACCACACCAGGGCAGGCCAACAGACCGCACACACTCGCTCTGTGAGCGAGAGATTGTGGGCACTCCATCCATGAAAAATGGCGCCACATGCGGTGAGGTCAACGACACAAAAGATGTGAACGAATCGCAATACCCCGATCATGCTGCACATGTGCTCCATCCTCTCCTCCCTAACACCCTCGCATGCCATTCGTTCGTCACAGGAGTCACACGTAATGGTCGATAGTTTCTCCATCAGTACCACACGCACGGCGCTTCGAGCGTTATGTTCAAGCAAGGCACAAGGCAAGGAGTGCTAATCCAAATGTCCTGTATCCAGATCCTCCTTACACTCCACATTGGTAGTTTTCAGTTCCTCCTTCCTCCACTCTGTTAGATTGTTCTCGTCACCGCCCTCACGTTCCTAGTCTCGTTCCCATCCGATCCTGCTCTTTCCCCTCGCACACACGACCCCCATCGTCGCGCAACAGCGCTCCCAGTCTAACCAATACGCGGTGTGCGGTACCCCCCTTCTTCTCGACTCCCGCTCCCCCTCTCGTCTACCCCTCCTCCGATATCGCATTTTTGTTCGTGACGTCGGCCCCCACGGATATCGGCCTTTCCCCTGGGCTGAATTTTCATCCTGAGACATTGCTCGACAGGTCCGGCCGGGAGACGGCCACCGGAAGCCGGAAACGACCAAAAATAATAGGTAACAATAGTTTCGCGTCGCCCGGATCCGAGGGACCTCCCCGGGCCCCTAAGCCCAGGGCCTCCGTCTTGCAGCTGGCGCACTGCCGCGGGTGGGCGGCACACTTGGCGCGCTTGCCGCTGGAGTTGTGCGAGCTGCAGTATCTCGCCAGCGCCGCGGGTCGAGCAATGCCGCGAGGCCGTGGGTGAAGGAAGAGGAGGAGGAGGAGGAGGAGGAGGAGGAGGAGGAGAAGAAGGAGGGGGTAGAAGGCAGAGCAGCAACCAAGAGGTCTCCTCCGATCCTACCTCTCGCTCGGACTGGAGGAGACAATGCAGAAGAAGGAGGAGGAGGAGGATAAGGGGGAGGAAGAGGAGGACGGGGAGTAGGAGGAGGAGGAGGAGGAGGAGGAGGTGGAGAAGAAGAGGACTCAAGGGTTCAAGGGTTGGCTGCGCCCAGAGCGCCTCAGTCCGATGGGAGGAGACAGGATGGCAGAACTGGCAGCAAAACTGCGAAAGCTCGGAAGAGGAGGAAGACAGGAAAAAGCAGGGAGGGTGGAAGAAGGCCAAGCGCATCAAAAGAAGAACCCGTGGAGTCCACCGCTATCGCCAAGCGGCCGAGCCGCGATTGAAGTTGAGCTCAGCCGCCATTCGGGCAGCACGGGATGCTTCGAAGTGATTGTCAGGCGGGTTACATGTGCGAGCGCATGTCTCCACTTGCATGCAAGATGCGATACGACTGACAGGATATCGCAACACACTTGAGATTATCAATCGTACAATCGATAACAACAAGGCGAACGGGGGTGTCAAGGGGAAGATATTGCCCCCTGCACTAGCCAGATTCCTTTCGATGATTGGGGACTGCATGCAGTGATGCGTTCATTGATCGGGCTGGCAGGGCATCCTAGGAGGCACATTGCATCGGAGGTGCGAAGCCTGGTAGAGGAGACCTATCCGCCCACCCACGTCCACAAAGCCGCCCATCGGCAAGACGGAGGAGCAGAAGGGAGGATGTTCAGGACCGAACCCCCTGCTAGCTCATGAATGCGCTCTGGAGGTGCACCGAACCACTCGGGGACCCAGGTCTGATCTAAACAGGCTCAGAAGCGCGGGGTGTACGTATGCAGCGACGAAGCTGATACAATAGCCTGACACGTAGGAAACGAAGTGACAAGGGGAATGTAGACGAGGCAGTATGCGAGCCGAGCTCATTTTGCAAGGCTGTTACCAGAGAGAGGGAAAAGAGAGGAGGAGCGGGGAGGGGAAGAGCGAGGAGGCGGCGCGGCAGGAGGAGGAAGGAGCACGGAGGAGCATGAGGATGACGAGGACGGAGGCGGGCAGTATCCAACGCCGATGGATGGAGCAGAAGAAGGAGGCCGAGCGAGGAAGAGAAAGAGGGAGAGCACAGAGGAGGCGACGAGTGGAAGCACAGTAGCGGTGGCCAAAGTGACGACGACGACGACGACGACGACGACGACGACGACGACGACAACGACGACGACGACGAAGCCGAGAGGCGCGCCTGGGCGCCACTGGCGACTGCTGCGGCCCGGAGTGCGTCCTCGCGCCGACGCCGCCGCGCCGCCGCTCCCGCTCTGGCCAGGTTGGGGGGGGCCGCGAGGGGTGGCTCCGCCCTCCTCAGAAGGGACGGCGCCCCAGGGAGGGACCGCGCCCAAGGAGGAACGGCGCCCCCCAGGAGGGACTGAGCCCCCCCCCCCCGCCTGTCATCCTCCTCCTCCTCCTCTCCTCCTCCTCCTCCTCCTCCTCCTCCTCCTCCTCCTCCTCCTCCCTCCTCCCTCCCTCCCTCCCTCCCTCCCTCCCCCTCCCTCCCTCCCTCCCTCCCTCCCCTCCTTCCCTTCTCCTCCTCCTCCTCCTCCTCCTCCTCCTCCTCCTCCTCCTCCTCCTCCTTCCACTCATCCTCTTCCTCCTTCTCCTCCTCTCCTCCTCCTCCTCCTCCTCCTCCTCTCCTCCTCCTCCTCCTCTCCCTCCCTCCTCCTCCTCCTCCTCCTCCTCCTCCTCCTCCTCCGCCTCCGCCTCATCTCTCCTCCTCTCCTCCTCCTCCTCCTCCTCCTCCCTCCTCCTCCTCCTCCTCCCCTCTCTCCTCCTCCTCCTCATCCTCAATCCTCATCCTCATCCTCATCCTCATCCTCATCCTCCTCCTCGTCCTCGTCCTCGTCCTCGTCCTCGTCCTCTCCTCTGCTCCTGCTCCTGCCTCCTCCTCCTCCTCCTCCTTCTCCTCCTCCCTCCCCTCCTCCTCTTCCTCCTCCTAGCTCGTCCCAAATCTCTCGTCCCTCGTAGCTCGTCCCTCGTCCCGCGTCCCTCGTCCCTCGCCCCTCGCCCCTCGTCCCCTGTCCCTCGTCCCTCCTACTCCATCCCGAAGCCGGCAAGAAGGTCGCGGTCCTCACTGGTCCGGGGGGCTGCACGGC